TTTCTTGAATCATTAATAATACAAAAGATATATGCCTTAAAGAACACGCCCATAACAAGGGCTTGGAAAATTTGATTCTAACAGATCACATTGAAGGCAAGAGGGTCAGTTAAAAGCAGCGAATGACCTAATTAACAAGCTTGTGTAAATGGTTGGCAGAACAGGGAATAGAAAACAAAACTAAAACTACAGCTACAAAGGTGAGGAAGTTGCGGAGAGCTATGAACGCGCATAGAAGAAGATATATTGGTATTTGTGAGGTTGGCTCCTTTAGACATCAGAAGAATGCAATTGGTGGATTTATTTTCAATCAGACATTTTTATTATTAAAAGGTTATTATACGAAGTGCCCTCAATAATAGCGTTTAAAATGAGAATATAAGAGGTCTATATGAAGTAACAAGAGGTAGTAGTGCCCTTAGTCACATTAATAGATGTACTGAGTGACTTAATGAATACACCTGAATGCAGAAGGCGAGGTGCAAGCGTATTGTGCCCCTCTGCATCTATAAGGGACACCCAATCTATTACATTTCAATTTTCATAAGGTATTATTCATATAAAATACAAATATTATTTTAATTATGTACAATAAAGGATCATATGCAATATAGGTAAACAATTCAACTAGAAAAACGGAAAATAAATGAAATATATCTAAATACAAATTAGAGACATGTCATAAGTTATTTTATTTATCATTCTGTAGTAGTGTTGTAAGATATGTTGGCTAGGGTCACCGTACAATGTAATAGCAATCAAGAAGGAAAGCTGTGTTCTTATAAACAACACTCCACATGAAATATGCACAGAATATATGAGAGAAATAAGTCAAGCTCCATGAACATTAAATAAATATTTGTATTATAACAACAATATACAAACATCAACAATAAGCATGAAAAAGTTACTTCCCTTTTGTCTGTAATAAAAAGGGTGAATGCAGTTAAGTAATATTGAGTTAAATGTTAATTAATTGTAAAGTTCAATTAATGTTCTTTATATAGGTATGCATAGGCTCAAGTGAGCTTGGCGCCAAAAAATATTAGAAAGATACTAAAATACGCGATTGGCCAGGAAATGGACCAATCCGTGATTTTAGAGAAAAGTTCAAATAATGTGCGATGGCAAAATTGTCATATACTAAGTATCATATATTTATGAACCAATGACATTAAAGAAAGCGGAGGTGTGGTACATGTAAGTGATCACCACAATTCTATCTTAAATAAATCAACAATTTTTTCCGGCAATTTTTAACATCACCTTGAAATTTTTCGTGTTAAAAAGTTGAAGAATTTAACACATTCAACATTACAGATAAAAAAAAGTGAATTTTATATAGTGTTTCTTCGAAACTTAGCAAGAACAAAACAAATTTACGGATATTGGACAAAAAATAACCCTAGAATGACGCCAAAATCCGGGAAAATTTTGTATCCTTTAATAGTTGTGTTTAGTTTAGTTTGTAACTTATATAAATGTAGGTAAAAAAACGAAACAAAAACAAACAAGACAGAGAGTGTCACAAAGCACTTCCCAGGCTCCCCAATCAGGCTCAACCCCTGATCATAGGAGTGGTACTCACCGGCCCTGACTGAATACACTTTTATGCACCAGAACATTATCATTTCTTGGATGTGAATAAAATAAATTTCCCGAGTCCAGACATTTATTCTTTTTTTTTTTATTGCGTTTTCTTGTTATGTTAGCAAACTGTCCGAACGATATATTAAACAGAGTCGAGACTTTTAGGGGGAAAAAAGTCATGTTGTTATTCATCAGCAGGCAAAAAAGACTGAAAAACAGAAAAACAAAACGGAGCAGTAAAACTGGAATAGAGAAGAAATACAGTATAACCCGGATATAAGAGAAACCCGGTTATAAGAGAAACCCGGATATAAGAGAGATTTTCTCTGGTCCCAAATTAGAGCCCATACTTATCTAAACAAAATAGACCAAACCCGGATATAAGAGAAACCCGGATATAAGAGACTTCTTCTCCGGTCCCGACAACTCTCTTATATCCGTGTTACAATGTATTTAAAGATCAAAATAATTCATTTACATTGTTAGAAATCATTTTACGGCGATTAATAAAGGTGCAGAGAATATGGAAGGTTAATTCCTAATTTGTGTGTATGTGTGCGTAAGGAACACAGTACGTTCGAAATAACTCTGTAAAAAGTTCTGCTAGCCGATTTTTTTTTATCACAGCTGCAGGTTGAACGTGTGACACCCCCGCACTCCCCAGCGCGTAAAACAAACACCAAATTGTTATAGCCTTTTCGGATATCCAAAAGACTTCATGAAAATATCTTTTATCACACATTTGAATAATTAAAAAGTGTTTGTTTTTTTTTTTTTTTTTTTTTTATAACCACGTGGTATGTTCTTTACTACGCCCGCATCTGAAATCACGTTGTAATTTTTTTTATTACCTTGAACTGATGTTCACCCTCTCTATATTTCTTTATGTCTTTGCCAGGATCACCTTTTTGCATAAAATTTTTGTTAAAACAGACTAAGCCTATTCTTCGATACACTCACCAATGCGAGGTTTAGTGAGCAGTTGAATGCGGAGCTGTTGAACAATAACGTAGAGTGTCAGTAATAAATGTGACGTTTATTGAATTTAGAGCTACTAAACAAAAACTGCGAGTGTCAGCATCTGTTCGGCAATAAACGTTACTTTTATTATATTTATCAGTCACACAGCCTGATCTCCTCTTATTAAAAAAAATGGAGTACAATGCAACCTCGGTTTTCGAACGTCTCACATGTTGAACAAATCGGTTTTTGAACAGAAAATTCGATATGAAAATGCCTCGGTTATCGAACAAAATTTCGGTTCTCGAACAACATTGCTGAACCGAGTTAACCTGAACGGGAATAATTTCTGAGTCGACCGCCATGTTGTATACATTCGTGTGTTGTGGTGTGCTTTTCTTTTCAATTTTATTGCTAGATCAGCTGCGAAGAAAGTCGATTCACTGTGTCGGGCGAAATACTTTTTCTTTCCAGAAACTATCTTACATATCTATAAGTCTACCATTCGTCCTTGCATAGAATATGGCTGCCACATATGGTCTGAAGCCTCCGCTATTTATCTTGAGCTCCTTGATAAGACCTAAAGAAGAATCAGCAATATTATTGGTCCTCATCTAGCAACTCGGCTTCAGTCATTTTCCCGCCGCTGTAAGGTTGCCTACCTGTGTTTTTTCTATAAATAATTTAATGGTAATTGTTCGGGTGAGCTCTTCGCTATTGTATAGTAAATCCTCATTGGGGCTATTTTAAAAATTGTTGTTTTATTTAATCCCCACAGACAATGAATTGTACATATGGGGACCAGTTAGGATTTTCATAGAGACATGAGGTATTATGGTGGGTGTAGTAATAAATATAAGTAAGAATGCATTGTTTTGGTGTTAGGGATATTATGGTATGTTTGGGTCAGTGTTTGTGGCTAGGTAAGTTCAACGTGAAGACAGAAGAGAACCGTGTTTTTCCCCATTCCGCATTTTGTTCTTGTATCACATTTTGTATATAGAGTGTAACCCGGATATAAGAGAGTTGTCGGGACCGGAGAAGAAGTCTCTTATATCCGGGTTTCTCTTATATCCGGGTTTGGTCTCTTTTGTTTAGGTAAGTATGGGCTCTAATTTGGGACCAGAGAAAATCTCTCTTATATCCGGGTTTCTCTTATATTAGGGTCTTATATCCGGGTTACACTGTATTACAAATAAATATCGCTCTTCGCTATTGTACATATGGGGATTAGTTAGGGCTTTCCTAGAGACAATGGGGTATTATGGTGAAGGCAATAAGAAAGGTAAGTAAAAATGTGTTGTTTTGGTGTAAGGAATATTGTTGTATGTTTGAGTCAGTGTTTGTGGCTAGCTAAGTTTAACGTTAAGAGAGAAGACCGTCCTTTTCCCCCGTTCCCCATCTTGGCCTTGTACCACATTTCTGTACATAGCAGAATAAATATCGCTCTTCGCTATGGTACCTAGAGTTTTTTTTTTTTTTAACTTAAGCGCAGCACTAGACTGGTGTCAAGGTCTCATCAATTTACAATTAAACTAGCTAGATGTAGCCGTAAATTCTATGCTAACAGCTTCTATTCGCACTCTTCTCCGGATCCATGCTTCCCACTTTAAGTTTGAAAATTTTTTAAATCGCTATCTGCTGTCCTCCTGATTACTCTCTTCTCTTTCTTCTTATCATTATTACTTCTGTTCTTAATTCTTCTACATCCCTTGTGTTTTAGTAACATTACTGTTGCTTGAGAAGGCACGGTGGAGTAATGGATAGCGGCTCGAATTGAGGAATCGGCAGAGCCAAGTTCGAATTCCAGTCAGATCCATTGCATTCACTTAGAGCAGTGGTTATACGAGGCAGTTGTAAAAAGTTCTCAGTCCAACCCACTTCCTCTGACCAATCAATACTCTGATTTCAGAAGTGCCCCTTCTGTTTGCCTCGCGGTTCTTGATAGGCTCCAGAGGCGGATATGCAATATGGTTGGCCCTGCCCTGGCGTCTCGTCTACAGTCACTTTCTCACAGACGCGCCGTCGCCTCCCTCTGTCTGTTCTACAAATACTTTCATGGAAATTGCTCTGAGGAGCTGCATTCGCTGGTTCCCAGACGTCATGAGTTCCAGCGCCCTACGAGGCTGGCATCCCGCTCTCACCCCTTCACTGTCGAAACTCCTAAATGTAGCCGTCTCTTCTACTCTAATAGCTTCATGTCTCGCACCTCTCGCCTGTGGAACTCCCTTCCCTTCTTCTGTTTCCCTGTGAGCTATAATCTCCAGCTATTCAAGTGTAATGTCAATCGACATCTCCAGTTGCCTTGATCTATCCACTACCCTCATCCTTTCTTCTATCACTCCTATCTGATCTTGCTATAAATTTTCTGTAACCCCTTGCGTCCTAGTGGCTTCCCGCCTTGCTTGGGGTGAAATGCTTAAAAAAAAAAATCCTTCATACCACCACAAATGTCTCCTCATAATATGAAGCTAGGTTTTAAATTTTTATGGTGGAGTAATCATGGATAGCAGCTCGGATTGAGGAATCGGCGAGCCGAGTTTGAATTCCAGTCAAATCCATTACATTCACTTACATGCTAATACCCTTGAGAAAAGTATAAATCCTCTTCTCCACCCCCCACCCCCAGTAAACAGTAGTTCTATAGTCTTGGCTGACAACTGGTCTACCGCAGAAAGAAATGGCAACCTGCGGGAAAAAAATCTGCCTCGTCAGTTATATATCGAAAGATACATGATCGCCTAAGCGTGTATCACGCATGGCATATAACTGACTGACTGTCTTGTTTGGAGTGAACTGATTTTAAAAAATTAGCTTTCTTTGGATATTTTTTACTATTAATGATTTTAAAAGAATTATTTTTTGCATGCGGCAAATGTAGAGATAAAAACAGCCTCGATTACTCATATAGAAAATATAACCAATGCAATTGTAAAATTACTTGAATAAAACTGTCATTGTTTTTTACATTAACCTTTTGAGCCCTGACCACCGCTTTATCGATGGTAGAGAAAAATGACAACGTTTTTTATATCTACCGTGGAACATTACATACCAATTATTTGCGAATTTTGACACAGGAGCTCAGGCAGAAGGATTAAAATCGTTCAGGAACACAAGGCTCAAAGGGTTAAGGGTGAACAAGTGCCTAAATAAATTCTTCAAAGTCCTTTGGTTTATTTGAAGAGAAAACAGTGTGCGTACGCGCGTGTTTTGTGTTTGGACGTATACTTGTCTGTATATATTTCGCACCTCTCTCTCTCTCTCTCTCTCTCTCTCTCTCATTCTTTCTTTCTTTATTCTTTCTTTCTTTCATTCTCTTTTCATTCTTTCTTTCTCTTTTCCTTTCTCTTTCTCATTGTCTTTCTTTCCTTCATTTTTCTTTCTCTTTCTCTTATTCTTTCCTTCTTTCTTTTTCTTTCTCTTTTCCTTTCTTTTCCTTTTCTTTCTTTTTTGTCCTTTCTCTTTTTATTTCTTTCTCTTTTTCGCTTTTTATTTCTTTTCATTTTTTCCTCACTTTTCTTTCTCTCTCACTTTTTCTTTCTTTCTCTTTCTATTTTTCATTTTCTTTCTCTTTCTATTTTTCATTCTTTCTTTCTTTTTCTTTCTTTCTCTTTCTTTTCTAGTTACAGACAACCTGGTCTACATTATTTTTATATTCAAATACAAGTAAGTATGTGCGCACACACGCACGCGCACTTACACTAATAAATACAGTCTATTTCAACTGTCCCAGAAGAATACAGTTTTCCTTTGCTTTAAAGAAACCAAAGGAAAGATCACGTTGATGTAAAAACTGGCCCTGTTCTGCACGCTAGCCAACAGCACGCCCTTAGTTGACTTGTCTCTCTATTAAACCATAGAAAACATCATCAACAACAACAACAATCTTTTCTCTTTTTTTTCTTTTCTTTTTAAAGTAGGGGGTATTTCAAGTCAAACGCTCAAAATGTTAGCCAATCCTTAGTTTTCTGGCGAGACTAAAAATGTACCACATCTAAAAGTTTCGGCACTTGCAACGAGAGGAACTGGGGAATTATTTCTTTATTTCCGTAACGTTTCTTCGACGTTCAGAAACGAAAAGTCGACGCTTTACTGTCGGTGATTGACTATCTTTTCCTTTCCGGTTACGCATATCGAATGTTGGCATCTTTTTACCATTGCCATATAGACCGAAATTGAGATGCGCTTGCAGAGAAACAGGTCGACAATAACTGCAAACACTGATTATTGCTATTTTCTTAGGCAACATCTTCTATGTGCCATGTCACTTCAGGACGTCTCATCCGACAGCAAGTCCTCTGATCGGGCGGTTTTGAGGAGCGAGGAACCACCACTTAATTGCTGTTATTTCCAGAGTCACCCTAATCTGTGGTGGTAGGGTCCCAGTTATGGACAAATAGAGAACCCCTAAACTGGGGTCAAAGTACTATGAAAGTGTAGAAATTTTTTTTTATTGTGAAGGTGCCAATAATACATTCTCATAGTGAACAAATTAGGGAACTCCGTTTTTTTTTCGCGAAAATAGATAGCATGACAAGAACGGTCTGAAAATTAACGAAAAAAATTTTTTTCCTGATAAAAGTATATTTCATTATTGAGAAGAAACACTAAAGTATTTTTTTGAGTAATTTTTGAAATTTTTACTCATTCTTAGCATGTCCGAAATTTTAGTTAAAAAACTTGTTTACAGAAAAACGAAAAAAGCTCTATATCAGCCATATTTTTTTAAATTTTAAAAAATAAGTTAAATTCTTCGTTTAAAATTCGTTTAAAATTAATTATACGTATTTCAATATTTATTCGAAGAAATTTAGAAAATTTGAAGTTTATTTAAAATATTTTGAAAGAAACTTTTACTTACTTTCTTCGTAGAAAAATGTTTTTAAAGATAAAAGAGCCGATCTTCACGTTGCCGTCGATCGAGAGAGTGCCGAGTGATGACATCTATAAATTATTGACAGCTGACGTGAGATTCGAGTTCCCATACGGAAGCACAGAATGGACATATTATTTTTTTAAGTGGACCTAATTAAGTAGTAACTTGTAATATTTAAAGTAAAAAAACTTTCGCCATTACAATTTTTTTTTTGTTAAGTACTATGTACCATAAGTTTGTTGATACTATCTGGAGAAATTATAAATAAATACTATTAAAAAAAATTAAAATACAAGTGCTGCACTGCTGTTTGAGGGCCCATATAGACCCCTCTAAAGTCAATTCAGATTTGCTATTATAAAAAAAAATTCTATCCCCAGTAAAAATAATCAAACATAGTAAAAGTCATTTTGTCACAGCCTATATTCTCGGAAAAAATAAATAAATGGATTCTTATATTTTTACGTAATAAAAAATGACTTATCTGGAAAAATACCAGGGAAAGTTTATCTGAATCCCATGAAACTAGGTATTTTCTGAAAGCAAACAATATGTTTCATTTAAAAGTAAAATTGGCCAGTGTAAATGACTGATAACTGATAAGTTTTTAGTTTTCTAGAGGCAAAATGTGAATCTTACTTATTATAAAACCCAGGTTGTGTGTGTTACGTTTACATATTGGATCGAATTTCCTACATTTTTCAACCAATTTCAACCAAACATTACAGGACTACGATGAAAACTAGATGAAAGTACCTATTTTAACTTAATGAAAATGATGCACACGTGTTTCAGCAGGAACAGTTTGCTAAATTAAGGGGCCGTATACAGCAAAGAACAACCCTTACTAGACAGAAACTCAATCCACGTGACGTTATTTTTATTGCACGCACCAAACTTCCGGTCTTCCGTAGATTTCATTGGTAAACACATTATTGACAAATTAATTTTTTTAATATACGAAGACTCATTAGTTTGTAATAAGCTTTGGAAATTATAATCTGTAAATATATATCTACTTAAAACAACATCCGTTAAGCTGTACAAGCTTTTCCATAATTTTAGAAGAATTAACAACATAATGTAAAAAATAAAAACAATGGTTGCAGAAATAAAAAATAATTGTAGGTAATTGTTTTAAAATTCATTTTTCATCGAAATATATTTTTTGCTTTCAGACAATATTGTCCATGTTTATTGGAATAAATAAAAGCAATTAAAAGCTTTTGAAATTAAATAATATTTTTGTTTTATTGAGTTTTTGTATGTTACACTTCAGAGACGATTTTTAAGTCAATCAATATTCACAGCACTTAGAAGGGCTCCAACTAAAAAAAAACAAAAACATGATTTTGTTTCCTCAAAGCATTGTGCTTTTAACTGATATAATCACTAAACTCCTCAAAATTGAAATTATAGAGTTTTCGTACAATTAGTTAGAGCGGGTAAATACATATGAAAAAAAAAAAATTTTCTGCGATGACTTTACTAAAAAAAATGTATTTATAATAAGTTCCATCATTTGTAAATAGTTTCTGAAAATTTCATTAAAATCCAACAATTATTTTCATTTTTGCAAGATTTTCCAAATTAATGTGTGTCAAACGGGAAAAAACGTGCCAAAATGTTTATACGTTAATTTATCAGCCAAGCTGATAAAAAGAGAAACAAGGTCTTTTAATCAAAATTTACAATGTTCTAAAAAAGAAGGAAAAATTTCAAAAAATAAGTAAAAAATACTTTGATCTTTCCTCTAAAAAGTAACATAAGCATTTAGACGCGAAAATTTTGTTTTCATCAACTTTGGCGTCTTTTTAATCATGCTATGCTCTTTTTTTAGCGATCCAACGGAGTATATCATCTTGAGCATAAATAAAGCATTTCTTGTTCCAATGCTTTTAACGAACCCGTCTGTTTTTGTCCTATTTCCGGTTTGGTTCTGTTACATGGATCATCATTAGGCTGATTGTCCGATGAAGTTCACATTCATTTGCACCTGGCTTCTTAGTGCTGTGAATATTGATCGACTTAAATCCTCCGGTATATTTCCACAGTTGTATGTCGCATTTCTTGTGAATGCCGAGATCGTCTAAGTCTGCTAGCAATCGCTTGTAAAAGAGTGTCTTTTGCTTACTCTCTCCTTAAAAGAGAGGGGGGAGTGTTAGAAAGAGAGAGAGAGAGAGAGACTGAAAAATAAAATGCCTCGAAGTGGGCTGTAGTGTAAGTTTGAAAAGAAGAATATATAGTTCCTTATCTGATTGACTTCTCAATCCCGTGGCAGAAATAAGGAGGTTTATTCTAACCATAAAAATCAAAGAGACTATTCCCCTCGCCATCTCTTTAAGTGGGTTGAAATTCACTGAAAAGCTCGTGTCTCTTGACCAAAAAAAAAAAAGACTGCTCTAAATGCGTCTTCATATGGAAACGGCGTGTTTTTTACTTAATTTTTTAAATCAGCAATTAAATATGTTTACTTCAGCTGTGTCTTATTTTCTACATTTTTTGTTTATTATTGCTGCTGCTGCTGCTATTATTATTATTATTATTTTTTATTTATTTATTTATTTTTTTTGGTCGTTTACACATTTCTTTCCGGGTCTCGCCCAGGGTCCTAAGGTTAGAAATGGCATCATGACACTTTCCACTGACAACAAAAATAAAAAATAAAAAATGAATAAATAAAATAAAAATAAATAAAATAAAATAAAAATTTACATAGATAAAGCCCTTCGTAAAGTGTGGGCTGTAATTATTATTATTATTATTATTATTATTATTAATATTAAGCCTGTTCAAATTTACTTGTTGCAATTAAGTAGCACTTTTAAGTTTTTGTTTATTATTAATATTTATTTTATTATTATTAATAATATTTCTTCTTCTTCTTCTTCTTCTTCTTCCCTGTTCAAATTTACTTGTTGCAATTAAAATTAAGTAGTACTTTTAATTTTTTGTTTATTATTAATATTTATTATTATTATTATTATTATTATTATTATTGTTGTTGTTAAGCCTCCCTGTTCAAATTTACTTGTTGCAATTAAAAGTAAGTAGTACTTATAATCTTTTATTAATTTAAGAAATATTTGTTCACATCTACCTTATTCTTTCTTATTTATTTTCACTCAATACAAGGCTCAAGCGCCACTCAAGGTAGAGGGTTGCTGTGTGGTGTTGTATTAGCGTAAGAAAGGACAAGAAGTTCTTGGAGACTATGCAGGAAAAATAACGTCTATCTCCAGACTTGAAAAGGTCGGGATTTAATTCATAAATAACATTTCAGAATTCAGTCGGAGACATTTAAAAGTATAGTGTGTGAGTAGACTTTAGAAGGAACCGGAAACCCAAACCGGAACAGGAAACGAAGGATAAACCTTTACTCCTGTTCAAAAGACTGTGGACGTTTGTGAACCGGGCGATAGGTGAACCTATCTACTCCTACCATCCAGACAACATTTTTAGATTTATTTTTAAAACTCAAAAAGACTTTTAGCGCTCTCAAAAATTTCAAATAAACAGTATTAGCAATACGACAAAGTAAAATAACAACAACAAAAACAGCAGCCCTCCCTTCCAAATTCATTTATTGTATTTGTAATCTTACAGGAAAGAGGGACTGGAGAATCTGATACCAACGGGTCAAATAGAGGGAAAGAGAGACAAGGAAAAGCATCTGACGAGCTTGAGCAAGTGGATGACAGAACGTGGTCTGAGGGAGGGAGCAGAGGGAAGGAACTTGCTGACAAC